ATTGTGCATTAAATACAAATTTTATTTTTAGTATATATATAAATCTAACAGGAATCCGATCTTACTTTAGACTTCGTAGTAACTAACATGAAGTTTAAAGTCAGATTAGAGTAAACATATATTTTATAATTGAAGCACAATACTATAATTCGATAGATTCAAAAACTCGATAATTGAGTTTTTGTTTGATTTTGCCGAGCACTAGTACTAGCAGACAGTATATATGTGTATGATTTCTATTTACAGCAGACAGCACATATATATATACAGTTTTTATTTACAGTGGACAGTACATATATTTGTATAGTTTTTATTTATAAGCGATAGCATATGTATATGCAATTTCTATTTATTAGAGGACAGCATATATATATAATTTATATTTTACTAATAGATAGAACATTTATATATGGGGTGGAGTCAATAGAAATGAGACAAATTTATTAGATAAATTGTCCTATTTCTATTGACTTCACCCCATATGCAGTTTCTATTTATTAGTGAATAGCACATATATATGTGCTATCTATTAATAAATATATATCGTATATATATATGCGCAATTTCTATTTATTAGCTAACAGCACATATATATGTACCAGTAAAAAAAATTTAAATTTAAAATTAGTGCACAAAGCGCACTAAATTTTAGAATTAATATGCGCAAGGTGCACTAAATTTTAAAATTAATGTGAATATAAATATTAATTATTGTTATAGAATGTTTTTAAATACCTACCTTATTGGACTCAATAATGAATTTGATTGGTCTGTTTGCTCAAACTAGCCAATTAGATTTTTTATTAAATTCATCAAGATAAGTTCTTGAGAACGCTCATAATTAATATACTGCCAAAAATATTTTTTATGCTTCAAATATAGTAATACTAGTCTCCTATGATTCTTTATTTATTTGATATAATCCTCAGATAAAGAAGTTGAACCAAATTAAATAAGATTAGTTTTTGCAATACTGATATTCTCTGTTAAACTAGTATAATAGTAAAAACAAGTACTGTATTTGATATTGGTAAAGGGTATAAATTTAAAGCTCTAAAATAAATAAAAATATAAATATATTAGCATGTATATATATAAAATCATACTTAGCTTAGAGAAAAGAAAAAAAGATCATATCTTGTATATGTGAAGCTTGTAATAATTAATCGAGGTAGGAATTAAATATCGAATAGAAATTTGATTGTGAAAGGCAAACTTAATAATTAATTGATAATATGAAAAATATAATAGTACAAGAGTAGTATAACAAAGTATAAGCAATTTAAAAGTTTAATATAGTAATAGCGTAAGTTAAAGTTAAATTTGTATGATCAAAATATGATACAATAGCATAGAATCAATTTGTATTTATAAGTAAGGTGAAAGAAAAATAAAATTAGTATCAATTTTTTTTTTTACCGTATTTTTGCGTAATAATGCTCACCTGCACGTTATTTTGAGTATATACACATTATTTTGAGTACGTGCATGAGCGTTATTTTGAGACAATTAAAAAATTTTATATAATTCTTGTATAAAAAAAAACAACTAGATTTAGTACTAAGTAACCTTCCTTCATGCTTTAACAAAAGTTCTAAAAAACAACTTTGTTGAAGTTTGAAGGTTTACTTAGTACTAAATCCAGTTCTGAAATATTTTTAAATCATACTATAAATAAACATTCCTTACTATGGGGTGCATGCTATTTTGGGACGCACATGAGTGTTATTTCGAAACTATATATATTAATTTTAGGGGGCATAATTTTCGAAATAATGCTTATGAGCATTATTATGTGAAAATACAGTATAAATAATCTGATTGTATTTAATAAAGTACTTATCTTGCCATTTGAATTCAATTTTTGGTAATGCAGGTTACTAATTGATATTAAGTAATAGATCAGTTCAGTTATTTTATATATCAGAAATACAAATTATATGCTGATATATTAAAACATATTTATTATCTCAATGAATAAAAATATATAACAGGTAATAATATTTAATACGTTAGAGATAAAAGTTTAATTTATAAAAGATCATTTAACTAATAAAAAATACTTATTATTCTAATTAAAAACAAAAATCTAATATATATTTAAATTTGTCATTCTTTTGTATACCAATAATCGTATGCCTTTTCAAAATCAAATAATTCAATAGATGGTCCATTTAAAGCTATCATTAAATGATGATTAAGTGTTTCAATATTCATTTGATTACAAAGTTGAGTTTTAATAAGTTTTTGATGAGAAAAAACTCATTCAACAGTCGCATTAGAAACAGGGATAAGTAAAGCAATTTGAATTAAAGTTGAAGTAGCAGGAAAATCATAAATAAATATAATTTGTAAAAAAATAAGATTCCATGTATTAACAAATTTAATTGAGTGATAATTTTTAAGAAAAAATTTAACTATTCCCCACTCATTAATTAAATCTTTTTTTTTCTAATGGTGGTATAAATTGTTGATTATTAATAACTTTTTCTGTTCCATAAAAATTACTAAGAATATTAATCACTTCATTACCATAGTTTGCTAAATCATTATTAGATATTGGTAACTGTTTTGGATCATATATTTTTATAGCTTTATAAAATTCTAGATTTGGAAAATGATTATTTAAACTTGTTATTGTGGCAGATGCAAATTCAGAGATAAAGGTAGAAAATTGACTAGTATCTAAATTATTTTCTTCTATATATTTAAGTAAAATTTGTCCATAAGTAGGTAAAATGTTATTTACCAATAAATTGAGCTTGTAATGCATCGCATGCTATTATAATATGTTGTTTAATATCTGAAATGAAATATAGTCTGATTGAAAAATACGAATTAATTTATCTATTATAAAAAAATAATTTGCCAAAAACATAGTTACGATTTCAAAAGTCTGATTAATATCTGCTAATAAAATAGCTGCCTGCATATTATTTGCTGCTTCATCTAATAATGCTCTCTTAATTGACTCCAAATTTTGATAAAAATTATGAATAATATTTGAAAATGACAGCCATCAAGTAGATACAATATTTAATATCATTAATTCAGGTTCTTCTAAAGTATTTTGTACCATCTTTAGTTTTAATAATCTTTTATAAGAACTACTAAAATATGTATAAATTTCTTTTACTAACTTTTCATATTTTTCAAAATATAATATTTTTTCAGCAGCATCTTGACCTGCAAGATGTAAACGATATGCTATACAGTGATTCTCAGTAATAAAAGAATTATATTATTTAAGACATGCAGCAACTCTATTTTGATGACCGAGCATAGTACTTGTACCATCACTTCCAAAATGAACCAAATTTTCAATATTAAGTAATTTAGCTAATATAAATCTTTTTAAATTTATAGTAAATGATTCAGCACTACAATCTTCTAATTTGATCATTTCAAAATAATGTAAAATAGGTTTATTTTCAGATAAGTGCTTTGTTACAACTGCAAGATGTTTATTAGTAAATATAGTACTTTTATCTATCAAAATACTCCAATATTTTGAATTTAATATTTCTTGAATAACTTCATGTTTAATAGTAAATGATATTGTTTTAAGAAATATGCGTCCAGAAATTGGATTTTCATAAGTAGCATATTCATTTCTAGATTGATTAGATTGATTAAAATTTTTATTATTCGATTTTAATACAATAGGTTCTATTTCAAAATAAAGTTGTTCTTGGTTTATAGTTTGTAAATGATTTAATTGACATAAATTAAAAAATTGGGTTATAGCTTGATTATTTTTTGAAAGGTAATATATATTTTGTATTAATGAAATAATTGTTAATTTTTGAATACTAAGTTGTCGAGTAAATCCTTGCATAAGCTTTGTTTGTCGATTGTCCCAAGCAATAATAGCTTTTTGATGATCATTAATTATAAGATGTCTTTCAATAGTTTGTTTTCTTAATGATTGTGTACCTTCAGTAAATTGATTAGATTTTCCTGCATCTTTACACCAAGTATAGTACAATGTAATTGTACTATTGGTATCTTCAGATTTTTTAAGCCATGGATAAATTTTAGGCCAATTGGGATTCCAATCAGATCAGACTTTTTTAGAAGACTTATCAAAACTAAAAGATTCTTCTTGTTCTTGATTATTTGGATTTTTATTAATATTTTTATGAATAACATACTTGTCTATAATAACAATTTATAGTAATTTGAAAGATAAATTAAAGAAATAATATTAACAATATTACAAAAATTTTGCAGCTTTTATATATTTAATTTTATATCAATTGTTATATATTGCTATCAGGTACAAATTATACATAGAGATCTACCAATTATCATTTCACAATAAAATTGTTTGATACAACAATATAATATAAATTAATTTACTCTGCATTATGTATAAGTAAATATATAATCAAAACACTATTTTATAACAGTAACCAAATTTGTTTATATATAAATTATGTAAAAAAACCTTTTTAAACGCATACTTAAAATTTAACCTAATTATATACTTCTATAAATATGCATTTTCTTATTGATTTTAAAATATATACTATTAAACATTTAGTCTCTATAGGATATATTTAGACAGGTTTAACTATATCTATATATATTAGATTATAGTTTGTAAAAATAAAATAATTTATACTGGTACAAATTCTTTTATTACAATATTTTAAGAGTGTTACAATTTAATTTATATTTATTTATTTATTATTTTATTGTTCAATTTTTGTTTCGCAAGCTTGCTATAAATATTATAAAGCTAATACTTACTTATTACTCATACTGTATTTCAGCATTAACTCTCTTAATTATTATTATTATAAATCTGAACTAATTTAAAGGCTGCATATAGAAGAATTTTATAAACAAGTGTTCAGCAATTAATTTCAGTTAATACATTTCTCGAACTATTTATTTATCTTAATTAGTATTAGTTAATAAATATATTTAAATATAATAATTCATATAGTTAGCAAGTAGTCTAAG